TGAGTTTCACATAAAAACTACTAGAGCACTATTAGCACTAGCCATCCATAATTTTGAAATGATAGACTAAAGGGAAGGCAGTTAGCCAAAAGCACCTACTGCCAACTTTTGGGCTACTCTTTACCAGCAAATAGTTGGATTGACCATCATATTATAACGTCTCCACAGCTGAAATGGCGAGCATATTTGGCAATGGGATTCAAACATACAGCCTGCAGAGTTTGAGTCTATATAATAAATACACTTATTCTGTTTAACATTTCCTAATCGAATCGCTGGTTATTATGGTCGCTATCTGATCAGTTCAGGAAAATAATTTATATGAAAATACTAAAAACTCCAATATTTTCACGTTGGAGATAAAAAAAAAATGTAAAATTATAAAGTTCACTGTTATGATGACAACAGACCATAGAGTGAGCAATAGTTTGACGTACACTATATCACTAGTAATGTAATTCTAATATATCAAGATACTATTGAATCTCCCATGTAAAAACATAACAGGTACACAAGTCCACAAGTGTGGCCATCTAATCTGCAAGTAAAACAATCAGTTTGGTTAAGAAGAACACTACAAAAAAAGGAAAGAAAACAATTTCAACCCTGTATAGTCTATGCTAAAACTCTTAATAACATAAAAGTTCCTAGTAAAATTTTGTACTGCAAAGCTAAGTTGTATGAAATATTAAAATATTGTTACGTCTCCGTTTGTTAATTAACTTTCCGTAACTTCGTTCCGACGAAACTTTAGCGACACAAGTTCTTTACTTAATAAAACTGTTTATTCTTTCCGAATACAACTTTAGCGATACACTCAACTTCAACAATCGCGCTAAACAAACGCTATAACAACGAACGTGCTCAATAATACTTCTGACTGCAGATCAATTACTCACTATCTACGCACACATTACATTCCCGCGTCACGTTGTCCTCTCTTATATATACCCGCCTACCCCATCTAGCAAACACTAGAGCATTCATGAAGAAACAAGATAGTTCTAGAACCGTGGCGTCACAGTGGTCATGTGACTCGCTGACGCAACAATATACTGCTTTAGGAATGTGGCATTCAAACGATTACCATTATAATTACAGTTATAATGGAGTTTACATGTGGAAATGTCATAATTACTTTAGAAATTTATTTCCGTGGAGGACTTCTTGCTCTTTTGATTGGGTATCTTAAGGGGAAAGCGTTATTTTAGTCAAGTTTCTTTGTTGTTGTTGTTCTTATAAAATATAAGGAATATGGTAATAGATTACTTTCATTTATTGCTGACCAATGTCAGATTTCAAATTAATTTTCAAAAGGTACCAATGCTAAACTTCAATGACCAAAAACATTTAAAACAGAAAAAGAATTAAGACCTGATAAAGGAGATACATAGAAAATGTTGAAAGTTAGCAAGTATCACATATCTTGCTGATAAATTTTACCATTTTTATCTCAGATGTACACTGTTACACAAAGACTATAATTATTATATTTTCTGGTGGTTCAGCATAATAAGTAGTTTATTTAAAGCCTAAAGTTCCTTGTCTTATTATACTTTCTTTTCTAACTGGGAATTTTATGGAATGTCTTTAAATAATGATTATTTCCCATTTTTTAATTAATCATGAACCAAATGATTATCACAAGAAAAAGAGACATATAGTTTGAAATGATTATTTATTGAACAATGTTATGAGAAATCACAGCACTACTTGTGCCCAATACATCATCCACTCACTTCACTGCCACTAGAAATAATCTACATAATACATTAAGAAACAACGAACTACGTATTGAGCTTTTACTGTTTTTCATTAGTTAGAAAGGAAGTATCCAATAAATATTTTTTACATATAATCTCAAATATAAAAGTTTTATATTCAGAAAGAATACGTTATGGTTTATCAGATTTCAAAACTAATTCAATACAAACTGCTAGTCTTGGTGGATAAGTGCACTTCTTTTTTCCCTTAACAGACACACTTAAAAGTGTTAGACAATTTTTAGTTATGGCATAATTTTCAGTTTTTAAAGATTTCATTAAAAATGTATCATTACTAAGATGCATACTTGTAGCATACACAAGTATATTATATTCCAATTCCATCTTTATTAATCAAACATGAGATTCAGCACAAGAATGTTTTAAAATACTTAAAAATCATGGTACATTTTTGAGATTAAAGGGTATGTTGTCAAAATATATCTGTATATTTATTTTATAAAGAATACCAGTAATTTTTAAAGAATGAATGTACAATTTGTACTTGCCATTATCAGTGTCTAATTTCATTGGAATTTCCAAATTATAAACTTTACTGTGTTATAAATACTAGATTAGATTTCTTTTGAATAACAGAATTAAGGGTCCTTCAAATGACATAGTATTACTAACTTCTTATGTACATTATCTTTAACACTTTTTGAAAATTTCAGAATAAGCACTTATTTAGATAATACATACTACAGTTTCATCCATAATTTGTAAAAATGATGTCCTAATAGAAACTGAAGAATAACAGAAGATATTGAGTTAAAAAGTAATTAAAAAATCTTTTTCATGAGTTATAATTTTCAAAATATCAACTACAAGAAAGGTTCATTGTTTACAGCTTGCTTTTCACTATTTTTGCCAAACATTCAATGAGAGAAATAGCTTCTTAAAATTACACTTAACAAAACTTGTATAACAAATTTCATTAATACCTCATAAGTAGGCAAGCAATAATTTTTACATTGTTTGAGATATTAAATAGTTGTACAGAAAGCTCTCAATCCACAATTTCATTAAGACTAATAACATTACACAATGACTACAAAACACCACTACACAACATATAGACACAACAATAAAAACAATAGAATTACCAACGAAATCACAATTGTATGTTTCATGCAACACATCAACTTGTTAGGTTAATCTAAAATTCTTTACTTTTTACTAAGTCTGTATTTTATTAACGTTTTTAGAAAACAATTATTGTATGATTAAATAATATTATACTGAAACCCCTTTATCTCTATAAAATAAATTAAACATGCTTAAGTAGTCTAGCATGTTATCCATGTATTACATCATACTGAGTAACTCATTGTTTATGCCTATTATAACACTTGGTGTAAATAACTGACCAGAAATAATTTGGTAAAATTTCTAATTTTTTAACTAAAATACATAGGGAACCCAATCAATAATTAGCAGGATTAACTGCAATATTGATGGTAGCTTTCTTTAAATTTAAAGTCGTTGTTTTGGGTTATCTGTTGCCCTGCCCACTTCAGATATCAAAACCCCATTTTTAATGTCTAAGCTATTAAGGCAAAATTTTTAAGTTATAGACCAACAAGTAATCGGTACTTAAATAATTTTTAAAAATGTGTTTAAAAAACTGACATTGACACCACCAATATTTCTAAGGTTAATTCATTTATTATATTATGAAATCTTCAATAGGTCTTCTTTTCACTGAACTTTTGTTCTGTGTTTACTTTGTATATTAAAAGGCAAAAAAAAAGTATTTTGTTTGTTTTAGAGCAAAGCCACATTGGGCTATTTGCTGTGTCCACTTCAGGGAATCCACATTTTAGTGTTGTAAGTCTGTTAAGTAAGTTGTAAGTTTGGTGATTGACAAAAATTTCACAACATATTTATACATTTCTATTTCTCTCTAACACAGTTTGGTCTGAAAAAAAAAGTTTATAAATAAGTTTATTATATTACTGTGAAAACGCTATTCAACCCCTAATATACGAATCACAATCACACAATTTCTAGGATTGTAATAAAAGCAAAACCAACAACACCATTTCCATTTTATAACAAAAAGTATTAGTAAAAAACTTAGGCACAAGTTTATTATATAAAAATATGTACCACTATTATAATAGTCTTCGCTTTCACGATTACTATAAATTAAGTGCTTTTGTCTAAATAAAAAGACTGATAAACTGGGATATGTATTTGTGTATCTTTATGTACCTCTAATATTGTGTCATTACTGATCAAATGTGAAAAGACTAATACAAAAGAATGGGATTTACCTAAATATCTAATTCTCAGTCCAGTGATAACTGTTTGTTAGTACAATGATCTCTAGAATCTAAATCATAAAAGTTAGATTCATCCTCCAATTGTGTATTACACCAGGAGGAGGTATGACATATTTAAAAGCATGCAATAATCCCCTACTAATTACTAATATTTGCTACAGATTTACATACATGTGTTTAGTGCTTTATTGATTTTACTGATAAAATATGCGACCACCACAATTAAATAAAACTCTAAAGTATGTAAAGCATAATTAAAATAACTCTTAAAAATAATAATTTAATTTTAAGCTTGTTAGAGCTTTTAGAACCTCAAATAAAATGAAAGTTCTAACAAAGAGAGTAAATAAACCAAGTTAATAATAATTACACAACTAATTGGATTCTGAACATAACTCTCACTAAGTTAAAAGAATATATCATAAACACACACATTTAGTAATTACTCATTCTCATGAATTCTGTTCATAAAAATGTATAAGAACTTAATTGTACAAATGTTTACCTCTTACTTAAAGATAAATATATATATTTCAAAGAAACACAACTTTGTGAAATTCAAGGTTGTCACCACTGCACATCTACATTACTATTCCTTCTAAATGTTTTTAAAATTTGTTTGAATATAAAATATTTTTACAAAATTGCATAAGATACCTATACTAATTTACAATTTAATTTCTAATAGGTTTTGTTGATATGTAACCACAAATGTTATGTACTTGCTTTTTATCTAAGTATCATTCCTACCAAGTTTTTTTTTATAATTCTATGAAGTGTTATGGAAAAAAGTTGACAAGACCTTGTAAATCTTTCCTTCAAATGTTGGAAAAGTCAAAAACAGAAAAAAATAATATTGATGAATAACACAGCAAGTGTCCTAAAAATGGAAAAGAAAAACTAATTACTTTGTTTCTCACCATTTTTTATTGTTATAAGGTGATATATAGTTTCCATAAATATATGAAGTTTCTGAAGTTCTTCCATTTTATATTAAATATAATTTAGTTGAATGTTATAATTGTATATTGAAACAGACAATAATTAAGAGTGAGAAGTTTGAAGTTATCTATTCAGATCATCTTCCAGTGTTGTAGATACTTTAGTAAAGAAAAATGGTGTAGGATTAGTGACCAAATGCTCAGCTCTTTGTCATTTGGGGAATTCCAATGCACCAACTACTTTACAAAGCTAAAGTTTCAGATCACTACACACATTACTTTTTTTTCTGTTGTTGTCATTTAAACTTTAGTATGATACAATGTATGTATTGTATAGGGTGTGTTCATGGTGGGACCATTTAATTCTATTATCAATATTGTGAGTAACTGCTTTAAAGTTACAGTAAATATGGTGCAGCAAATACACAAAAAGACATACAATATTTTCATTGTCGAGTATTGGAAAAAAAAAAAATTTAATAGCAAAAATCAGTAGTTTCAAGAATAGATCATATATGTATATCATTTTCTATATCTATGAATGTTTTAATTTTACTTTAATAACTTCTTTAAGAAACAAACCTCATAAAAGTAATTTCTCATTTTTAGTTGTGAACAATGTTATGCATGTGGAGATACTATTTCATTAATAAAAACTTTTATCACTTAAGGTTACTTACAGTAATAAATAAGGATGGTAAAATTCAAAGTAAACTTCACAATAGCCATCTTTTAAAGAATAAAATGGTTTTAAAGATTTCTGTCCATTTTGTGAAGTGCAGAAAAGTCATCAAGAGTCAATCATACTTTTATGTGAATAAAGTTCATGTGATACTGAAACGTCACAACTATGAAATTTCTATTAATATTTTTTTATAATTGAATAGTTAAAATCAGCATTTCAAAATTATTATGTAACTGTGAACAAAAATAACTCATTTAACCATTCAGCTAAAAAATTATACACTAAAAACCATATTTGAATTTTTTAAAAGAAAACCAATGCAATATATGAACACAAATTGTAATACTATAATGCTGTTCTTTCATCATAGATAACAATAGCTTCATTATCAACAAGAGAATCAGTATCCTTGTGAACAAAAGGAAGTGTTATGAAAGAATTCTGACTCTTGTTAACAGCAATAGCAGCAGCACTGTCATTTCTCATACGATTTTTTCTTTTCTTGCTGAAATTTACCTACAAAATGAAACAATTTAGTTATTTCCTTAAACACAAAAATAAATAAAATGTGAGAGAGATTTATTCAGCCATATCACATTCATAAGAATTTTGAAGGGGAAGAATGCTGTAATAATAGATTTAATTTATGTTTAGATACTGACCTACAGTTCTCATTTGGCCTCCACATCACATGTATACAACATCTTTTAAATTAAAATTTGTATATTTAAAACTAGCTGACCTTTTAAAAACCACAAATAATCTGTTACTAAATATAACAGTTAATACAGTATTGTGACTTTGGTTGAAAAACATAATACATTTTAAAATTTATAGCATACTTACAAACGTTTTTAAGAACATGCACTCTCAAAATAGTTTCTTAATTGTTAATGGTTAAAGGAATACCATAAAGAATAGAATCAAAATATGAATGAGTTACTGGATTATATACTTTTCTCATTTCATGTGGAACTTTCAAACATTTTTTAGTTTATAGCTAAGATTCGTAACATTTTAACATATCCTTATAATTGGAATTTGTAGATTTTTCTAAGGAACAGTTTTTCACAAAGAGTTTTATTATAGTTATTCTTTAAAACGTATATGATTTTCAAAATTAATCAGACGTAACCTGGAATTACTATACTATGTTTTTTAAGATAATCTTTCAGATCCAGTACCAAAATTGCATGCTAATATGTGTTTCCTTTATTGAGAAATTAAATAGCAGAAATAATTTTTTAATGAAATATGTGCCTCTCCAAACTTATATTTTAGTGTTGGAATAATAAAAGACTAAAAACACTACAGATTCTGTGTTTTTCACACTATAAATAATTAAACTCCTTCCAACAGATTATGTTCTTTGGCAATGTTATTTATTACATAATCAAATTATTTTGCTGATCTAAGCTGAACAGCCTTTTAGGAAAAATGACTAAACTTTTTTCAGTTAGAAAAATTAACATATCAATGTGACTGAAACTTGTATGCTTACTGGAAGTTTAGCAGAATGAAAAATTCTATTATTAGAAACAATATAAAATAACTTGCCCCTACCAGAAAGAACTGTGATGTATCAATATCATATATATATATATATATATATATATATATATATAAAGATACATCTTGGCGATTTGAACAAATTACTATTGTAAACAATGGTGCCAAATACTCTTAAAACTATGGCACCCTAAAGTTATAACTTTCCTATACTGAAAATGTACTTCCAATAGGTAATTCCCTCCTCTCACAAGATTGGCTATTCCTGTTCAGTGCTGCCTTCTATATGCAAACTTTTTGAATACATACCATAAGCCTTCTGCTCTCCCCTATTGGAGTCTAGTGATTCCAGCATGTCTCACATGCAAATCATCATGCATCACTTCTCCACCAGTGGAGTGCAACGTAGTCACGTGATGCATGTGACTCCCTCTATACTCTTCAACCAAACTATCACTTCGAGTTTGGCAGAAGATAGAAGCACCGGTTTTCAGTGGGGAGAAAGGATGGGAGGTGTGAAAAGAAGGAATTACCTATCGGAAATACATTTTCAGTATAGGAAAATTATAACTTCTGATCAGGTAATTCCCTCCGCTCACAAGATTAGCTAGAATCTCTCATCGAATAAGAGGAGGGACTGGTGTGAGGGAATGACAGAAACACTCTTCAAAAGAGTCCGAAGGAAACCCTGGAAATGAGAGAGTCAGAACCAAAGATCTGATGAGAGGAACCACACCACTTCTGAACCAGGTATACTCTTTATCCATACATATGACATATGGGCGGAACAATAGAGGAGCACATACATCCAAGTGGGAGAAAACTCTGGCTGGATAGGGTGCCAAACCATATGACATGGAAGTGAATCCCACCATATAAAAGTGGGTAAGCAATGAATATGCTCCTAGATGTACAGAGGCTAGGTTGCAACGGACTATATGGGTATGTTAACTACATCCAAATCCCTCTCCGCTGGGATCTGACATCCATGCGGGGATAGGATGAGGATCATATTGCATTCACCTCAAGTTTGAGAGAACGGAGGGAATCGGTAACCACTCCAATACCCAAACATGGCACATGCAGTAGTGTTTGATAGATCAATCCGGGAAACCGACATCCGATATCAAAAGGATGTCTGTATAAGAAAACTCAACTCCTGTGACAGGGAAATGAACTGGAACCATCCGAAAGCCAGAACATCCTCAGATAAGATATGTCCAGGGACGGCATAGAAAGAGGCTCGGAACAGTCCACCTTCCTCAGCTGTGACCCACAACACAAATAATTTGATCAAGGGAGGAATATAGACAACCATAAACATGTGTGAAGACTTGTGTTCATTGGTCACGCTAAATCCAACACCAGGCCACAGAGTACCAACATCGACACGGCAGTAGGATGAGGGCTCCCAATCGAAGAGGTGAACTGCATTTTTGACAGCTCAACTCCAGTGGTTGTGTAAATGGTATCAGGAGGCCACATCATCCAGCAAGGTGATGGCTCAACTCGTATGGAGGCCATATCTCAACTATATCAGTAGAACATCACCACTCTATTGTTGACTGAATGGTTATAGCCCTTTTTTTTGTGGAACCCACTCAGGAGGGTGCCTCCCAGGTCAACAACACCAGCGGGTTGGAACTGGAAAGTTGTAAGAACTCCCATACTCCACTGGAAGCAAGGAAGGTGAATCTGCAGTTGAGAGTCTGGAAGAGACAGTGCAATGGGTGACTACAAAACCCTATTTTGAAAAGAAGGCCATATCGATTTATTCAATCAAGGCATGGCAAGAATGGGCAGCTATCCCCTTCTGCTTTACCCATGCAGTCCATGGGTGGTACGGTCCAGAACAGGCATGTTTATGAAACAAAAATATTGCAAGGTTATTCACCTTCGAGTGATCTTGTGGAACACCCCCATCTCACCAGTGAGCATTACAAAGCCATGGAAGAGAACACAATTTAACATGGCTGTACAGTGCAGATTTCAATTGGTCAGGCACCGCTCGCCACGAAGCAGAATAGAAATAATGAATAATAAAGCAATGCCCCTGAAAAGAAAGAAGTAATGAATAGAAATTTACCTAGTTAGAGTTGCACCGAAGTATGAAAAACCGTCACAGGTGGTAGACAAAAAACCGATGAGGAAGAAACCCCAATATGGTGTAGATAAGGGGAGACGAATGTATTAGGTTAGTCCTCATGCTTGAATGTAGGAGTTCCCCCAATGGCCAATGGAGACAAGATGCCAGGGAAAATGTAAGGTTGTTGAATCTGATGAGAAGACACCTGAAACAGGAGGAAAACGACAAAGAGGAGTAAGCCAATGAGATCAAAAGCCAAACACAACTGATGAGGGCAGAAGGAGAAAGATCTCAACTCAAGGAAAACTGCCTAAGAATAAAGAGGTGGGAGCGAGAACCACAGAAAAAAGCCATACAGGCAATAGAACAATGAAGAGCACAGACCATACATAGGAATCTATCCAGATTGGGACAAGGATAAAAATGCAAAATGAAAGGAAGGGAATTAGGCAAAAGGTGGAGTTACCTCTTCTAGCCACCAATGCCTTGGATAGGAAGGAAAGATCCGGATAAAGAAGAAGAGAGAGAGTGGGAAAAACGTACATGAAACATCATGGGAAACAAATCTGACATACACAGGCATAGAAGAAAAGGAATTATGTTTGAAGGGAAGATGAAACATGGAACAGGAGGAAATGAAGAAACAAACACTTGAAATCTGGTGGTGAAAAAAAGCTATCAAGATCTCTGTCCACCCGAACAGGGTCAGCTTCTACAGGAGGAATTGTGGACGAGAACCAATAGAAGAGGCCAACTGCTTTAACATTCAATCACCTGAATGATAAATACTGATAAAAACCCACGCTGGGTCACCCACACCTGCAGTCTGTGATATAGTGCTAGTTGTAGGCATAACCCCCGAAGTGGTAACATTAGTTTCGGAATGCGACTGTAATAAGCTGGGATAAATGAAGGCAAATTTCAAACTCCAGAAAATCTGGAAGTTATAATAAATGAAGGCCACTTCGTGAGTATACTAAATACAAACTTGAAACAGTAAAGAATAACAAAAAACGTCCAAGTACAAGCACTGCCAAACAAGAAGTGGTAGTTTGGTGAAAGAGTATAGAGGGAGTCACATGTGTCGCGTGACTACATCATACTCCATTTGTAGAAGTGAACATGATTATTTGCATGAGAAACATGTTGGAATTACTAGATTTCAATAGGGGAGAGTAGAAGGCTTGTGGCATGCATTCAAAAAAGCACTGAACTGGAATAGCTAATCTTGTGAGAAGAGGGAATTACCTGATCAGAAGTAAAAGTTTTGGTAAACACCAGTCATCACTGCACAGCAAATTTATAATGTAAAAAATACTTTCATGCCTTAATTGCTTCTAATATAATCTACCTAACCTAATCCTATTCACATTAACTGATAAATATTGTATAAAACGTTTAGTAAGTTCTCTCCTTTAAATACATGTCCATCAATTTTTACATAAGTCTACTTAAATGTATGTATGAATGTATTCTTTGTTTTAATGTGAATATTATGAAAAAGTAACTGTTACTATATATGTATTAAGATAAGGTGTTGATATTTTAAAGTCTAGATTTAAAATACTATGTTATAAAAATTTGGAAACCTTACTTTGGCATAAAGTTCATTGAGATCATCTTCAGTTGAGAGTGGCCGAAGACGAGAGTGACCCCATGCAGGAAGACTTCTGGTTTTTACATCAGGATTAATTATATATTGACAAGGAAGTCCATTCAGATCAACTAACTCTGTAAATTAATCAAGAATTAATTTCATTCTTTTCATTCATTCATTTGAATCTGCACATATAAGGATCAAAACATTCTAGTTAACCTTCAACTTCAGTTTTTGATGGAGCAATAATATGGTCTACCTAATAGTTCTGTATTACAAAACCAAACATTTGGAAATCATACAACACATATGATTGTATATTCTTGATTAATAAGTTAAACTTTCACCATATTGTAAAGTTTTATGGATAGTGTTTATGAAGTTATAAATAGTACTGGAAATGAATGAACACTGGTCAAGTTGGAATTATACTAATAATTTTATTAATTGTTGGTCCATGAGCAACTCTGCCATTATAGCTTTATAACTCATCTTTCTCCATATGATGGATATTTATTAATCACAATATTTGATTTTTCAATAGACTATATCAAGCAAGAGCTTCCCCCCCCCCTGTTGTTTCTTTTGTGTGAAGTACAATCATTTCTCAAAAAATGATTTTGTATTGTAGTATATGAATATACTATGCATTTTTATCTTCTTTTATTATTATATTATTTATTCTGTGTATTGTATGTGCAGGTTTCACATAACATGGTCAAGAGAACCATTACAATGATCTCATTCTAGAGCTGCCTTTTTCTTTTGTTATTCACTTGGAGATAATACCCATTCTGCTCATGGAAGGTATTGCTGTAATATGCAGTATATGTGAATATGTAATGCTTGTATTGGTTTTACTTCAGTAAGAAATCACAGCTTTATTTCTTTTGCAAATCTAGCAGTTATTTTTCAATTCAACAAAAAAAGAAGGATGCAGTAAAAGCAGATGTACATATATCTAGTTTCTGTGATATTTGTTTGTTGTATGGCAAATTACTTTAAATCAAATTAATGATCCTAATTCATTTGAGAAACAATATATATATAAACATATATACCGTGTGTGTGTATATATATACATAAATTAATAGTTCTAAAGCTATCAAATACATTAATTGTAAATATGCAATATTTTAATCAGCACTGTAAAACAATAATGATGAAATTATTATAAATCAAAAACATTACAAAGAGACTCAAAAATTAAAATGGATTTTTCCATTACCAGTCCTTGTTGTCATCATTAAAACTCATAATGGATAATGTCTGTGGCCATAGCATCCAAACACATTGGAGATATTCCATCTATTAGACAAGATCCAGATACAATGTCAAACTAGCTAGCAACAAAGGAAGATCAGTTAAGAGTTAGAAATTGAGTGCTTGAACCCACAACATCTCAACTCATACTGCCTTTCGCTGTATACAGCCAGTTGTGTGAAGACAGTTACCATTAATATTTAGACACAACCTTAAAGAAGAAACAAACCACCCTAACTCCCAACCTCTCCACCCTTTTATAAGATGTACAAAAAAGACAAAAGTATCTCAGAGTAGAAATAGACCACCCTATATTTCTACAAGACTCCCCCACCTCTACTTTTTTATTTAATAATTTTAAAATGATGTTAAACAAAACTAAAACCTTTAGTTTAATAGTTCTTAATTCCCCATTCTCCTCCTTTTTCTTGAAAATTTGTTCAAGTATATAAAAAAAAAGGTTTATACTATTTTATAATAAGTATGAAATGATATTAAAAAGTACACTTTCAATTGTGGAAACTACCTTGTGGAGAACATAGAGGTTGTTAGTTATTCAAGGTCATATTTGGCTTATAAGTAACTAACTTTAAAATATTTAGGTATTTTGTTCAGTATATCAAGGCAGAAAGACTAACTTCAGGTAGCTGGGCTTGTCTCAGCTCACTTGGTATATACCTGAATAAATTTTCAAGAGAAAAGGAGGAGCATGGGATATTAAGAACTATTTAGAAAAGGGTTTTTAGTTCTGTATAACATCATTTTATAATTATTAAATAAAAGGGTGAAGGTTGAGAGTCTTGTAGAAATATAGTGGTTTATTTCTACCTTGAGAAAAATTTTGCATTTTTGTACATCTTATAAAAGGGTGGAGGTTGGTTTGGAGTTTTACATTGTAAAAATTTAAGGTGGTATATTTCTACTTTAAGGTTGTCTCTAAATATTAGAGGTAACTGCCTTCCCACAACTGGCTGTAAACAGTGAAAGGCAGTAGGAATCGAGATGTTGTAGGTTCAAGCACTCAACTCCTTACCCTTAACTGATTTTTCTCAGTTACTGGCTAGTTTGAGATTGGCACATGGATCTTGTCTGGTAGATGGAATATCCTCAACACACTTAGGTGCTATGGCTACAGATATTATCCATTATGAGTTTTAATGATGGCAACAAGAACTGGTAAAGGAAAAATTATATTTGACTTTTGAGCCTCTATGTAATGGTTTTGATTTAGATATGTATGTATATATATATATATATATAATTCAAAATCAGTACATAAACAAACAAAAGATGTTTTTGCTTCTATAGCTCCAAAAGGTTTTTAATATTAGTAATTTACATTTAAATATTTTTAATGACTTTAATTCTAATTTATGTTAATATTTGAAAACAGAAGGCCTATAGAGATGACTTTTAAAATTATCAAATGTATGTGGTGGTATTTTTCAGATTTTTCATTGACTTAACATTAAACTCTCATTCTGGACACCAAACTAAGACCTAGATTCTCAAAATTAGACCAAAATGAATTCCTGATCTTCCTGTAAGGCAACTCTTATTGCACTCCCCCCTAGTGGAACAGCGGTATGTCTGTGGATTTACAACACTAGAAACTGGGTTTCGATACCCGTGGTGGGCAGAGCACAGATAGCCCTTTGTGTAGCTTTGTGCTTAACTTCAAACAAACAAACAATTCTTATTTGTATATTCTCACCATCATAAGAGGGACATTCACTTAAAGTGGGCATATCTTGTAGATCATAGTGGCTCTGACTGTTGTTTTCAGGAATACTTGATAAAATCACCTGGTTAACATCAACACCTGCATCTGTAAGATCTAGCTCTGAAGGGTTACTGCATGTTGCATGAGGGTAAGGTGGAGCTTGATAACATAAATGAACTGGCTGACTTAAAGGTCTTGGCTTCATTGAGGAACTTTTGTGTGATTCTTTCACCTAGGAATTGAACAAATTTTGTACTTCATAAAAAAAAATGCATAATTATTCTACTGATTTACTACTCAAAATTTAAAATAATGTTTATATATTTCACATATACAAGCTCCCCTGATGGCACAGTTGTAAGCTTGATGGCCTATAATGCTAAAATTTAGAGTTAAATCCCCATAATTGGCACAGTGCAGGTAATCGATTGTGCAACCTTGCATTTAGGAACAACACAAACACATATAGATATATATTCCCTTAAATATACAAGTTTGTTTTTTATTGCATTGCAGTGCATACTTACAAGATCTTTATGTGCATACTCACAAGAGCTTAACTCAGATATTTTGTTTTGTTTTTTTACATGCAACATACATAATTTAAAAATTACTTAGCATGAACAGTGAGATTGAAAAAAGTTTAAGTATGGCTTATTAAAGAAGCAAACCAGTGAAATACTAATTATACTATTAATTACTCTGCATTATCCATAGAAACATTACTCTAATATGCACAATCTCTGATGCAAAATTTGCTTACCTGCAATACAAAGTTTCTGAAATAAGTTTTTGTTTTGTGAGCTAAAATATGTAAGTTATCCCAACTGTCATGGGTGTCAAAGTATTATAACATTACATGAGGCAGAACTTGCAAAATTATGAATAAGAAATGTTTATATATATAACATTTCTCTTTTTGGTGATTTATAAACTTATCTAATGTAGTTCTTAAGCCTCAGTATTTTCTGATATTCTGATACTTTTTTTACACAACAAACCGAATGAAGTATCTAACTCACCCCTTTACCATCCCTAATAGGCACAGACTGAGAACGTAGCATTGATTTATTGTTGATTTCCAACACTTGAGTCTCATACTGCTGGTTATTTGCTGCATCAACAAGCACTACAGAGTCACTGAAAATAGTTGTAGTTTAAATTTAAGTTTCAAATTAACTACTTAATTTAAAATCTTACACGTCCTCATTTTCTAAGAAAACAAAATATTTGTGTGATACACAAATTATATAACGCCAATTAAAATAAATTGAGAGTTCACCATCCACATGAACCCATAATTGAAACCACCATATTAAAATACTATTTTTTAAACCCTCTCATGGCTGGGAGAGGGATTACTAATATTTTCTAATTTTTTTTTTCTCACAGTGGAGTTACAAAATTAGATATGTTGGGGAAAAAATTATAAAAATAGTTTCCTCCCTTCTTGCCCATTGTTTTTTTTTAAACTAAAGATGATTAGTTGCTAGCATATTTTAATTGGCTAGCTGAAAATAAAAATGTATACCTTGCAGGGTAATGATGTTTACACACAAAAGTTTATAGTACCTAATTTTTTGAAGAAAGTAGATTCAAAAAGAATTATTTAACTTTACATAAAAATATATATACTGATTGTACACCAAAATTCACCATTCTTGTGCAATCTATGCCTCTCAGGATGACATAAAATCATGTAAATACTATAAAATAATTTCAGAACTACTTATCTTTGGCTTACATTTATATATTAGTAACAAAATGTATAAAGTTCAAAACTGTAATACTTCTGGAAACAAAGTGAAAGGCTTCTGCATGACTATACCATACAAAAACACAAAATTGTATAAATAAAGTGAAAAGCAGCTCTAAAATGGGTTAAGCTCACTATATAAAGTACTATTAGTCATATTTCCCAAAGTACATCCCAGACAAATGTGGTAAAATATTATGTCATCAATTTGCACATCTTATGAATGAATGTAAGAGATATACCAATATTTAGAACCTTGTTTTTGTAATTCCTAGTAATACAGTAATAACCACAAAAATGAAGTAATTTGCCTGTGTAGTGCTAGGATGTATTATATGTTTTCCACCCTTCAATTAAAAAGTAAAATTTTAAAAATGTTGTTTTTTCACAGCTTTCCAGATGAAACATAGCAATGCTCAACCAAGTTACTAACTTTCACTTTCCTTAAGGGGTGAACTAGGTTAAGAGTCTTTTCATCTGAATCTTTTACAGGTATAATAACATGGTTTTTAATTACTGAGTTGAGTTATTCATGTTGATGAATCAAATAGTTGAGAGTGGATTTGCCCTTGATCTTCACTATCTGTTAGCCAGCTGATCTAATAGGCACCAATCACTGGTTTCTTGTGTCAGGAACTTGAGGATCTATTGACATATTTAAGATAGTGTTGGAGCTTGGGAGAGCAGATTTTCACAAGAGAATTATATAGATTTTACACCTGAATAAAAGAGATTTGATACAGATTTAACTGATTTTACATAGATTTACAGAGTTTTTGTGTGAGTGTTTTTTTTCAGTTAATTTGTTCAGCAAGAGCTGATATTTTTTCCTTTTGTTTAAAACAGCAAAAACTCATTAAAGTTTTCCCATTAGATTGTGTGCTTCTGCAGGTTGGTAATTTTTCATTCATTCATTCTATTTCAGGAGAACTCCTAAAGTAGCATATTGTTGTGTGCAGTATTTGTATTAAGTGCAATTCAAATATTTCTTCTTTGAATAAATCAGTCTTATCTCTTTCTTTGTGACTTAACTTTCACAACTCATTGTGAAATGTACACCCAATCCCAAGATCTGAGACCCTCCAGTTGTTAGCAGCCCCGACGTTTCTGCTTTGTTGGTCATCTGCGAGATATCACACACATAACTTACCAAGTGTTTATACAGTTATACTGATTAGCTAATGGTTAAATGCTACTTGATACATTATACTTACTCGTTAAATATAAATTTCATTGTATCTACCAACAATTGCTGTATTTTTTTACTTTTTTTTTACATAGGTCTATTGATTATATCCCTATAAATATTTTCTCTAATGTCAAAAGTTTATAGAGGTGAAACACTCCCTATGAAAGATGATAATTCTTCCTTTACTGGTACAGTTCATATTTTATAAATATTCACATTGACAATGACAGCATTAAGATTAACATTTCAAGTGAATATTAATTATGAAAAGAAACATGGGAAATTCTACCTTTGAATAATCCCAGATCTCCTCTTGGCCACAATTTTACATTCTTCTGGCTGTTTTTTGCAACCTAGTGTTACAAAACAATAATAAAAGTCGCCTTGAATAACTGATTAAGAGAAGAATGTATTCAAATAATTCCTTTCACTGTTTCAGTAAATTTACATTATTTGTATCTTAAAATCATGATTTTTAATGTAATTTCAATATCATATGATAAAGATTAACTAATTCATTTTCAAAGCTGTTCAACATTTTTATGTTGACTGGAACCATTACAGTTACAGATATATCTGAAACATTGTATTTAATGCTTACATAGGTATAACGATAAAGAATAAAAATACGCATTTATAAACCCATTATTATTATTATGCTTTTTAAATGATAAGTATCAATATTAATAGAAAACACACCATTCTAATAGCATTAAAACAGAATATTACAGTAGTAGTAGCAGCGAGTATCTTTTATCTAATATCTTCCAAATTTTGTCCTTATCGTAATTCTTTAAACGCAATGGCTAGATAAGCGGTATCCGGGAACAATCTTTCAAATATTACCGTATTTTTCGGTGTAACAAATAAAAAATCGTTTTTGAGTGCTTGCCTTGGATTCAAGTGTGCAAAGCGCTTGACCAATCAGAGCGCTTAATGTAATTAGCGTCGGTAATCGCCTAATCGGTATTTCAATTTTCATTTGATACTCGGCAGTCTGGCACGTTCTTACTGTCAAGTTGGATGCGTCACCGAAAGCCGAAGCACCGTATCTTAGGCTTCGGGAGCAGAATAGTTGTTTCTTAATTTTTCGTTCTATTTTTTCATCCCTTACGATGTCTAAAGAAAAGAGAATGTCATACACAGCTAATTTTAAATTAAGTGTGATTAATTATGCAAAAGAGCATGGAAACAGAGCTATCGAAAGATATTTTGGTCCTCCACCAGAAAAAATGGTTCGTTGCTGGCGCGAACAAGAAGAAGAATTGAAAATGATTAAAAGTGATAAACGCAATTTCCGAGGAAAAAAAAACAAAATGGCAAGATCTCGAAAATAAACTGTACGAATGGGTTGTGGATCCAAGAAGGCAAGGACTATCCGTTTCTATAAATATGATAATTTTTCAAGCAAAGAGGATTGCATGTGATAATAGTTAAGAAGATTTTACTGGTCATACATCGTGGTGTTATCGGTTCATGAAACGCAAAGGCCTAGTTATGAGAACTAAAACAAAAATTGCTTAAAGAATGCCCGATGAGTTTGAGATGAAAATTTGTGGTTTTCACAAGTATAGTATACAGTTAAGAAAAAACTCCATTTGGATTGTCTCAAATAGCAAACACGGATGAAACACCTTTAACATTTGATGTTTTAAGCAATAGAACAACTGATATAAAAGGTACTAAAACTATTACTGTTAAGATTACTGGACACGTAAAAACGCATTATACAGCGGTGCTAGCATGTTGTTCAGATGGATAAAATTAACACCAATGTTAATTTTTAAAAAGAAAATTTACCCAGCGGTGTCTACGTTCACGTACATGAAAAAGGATCGATGGAACACTACTTTGGTTTGAAAAATTGTCGTCGAAACGTCCAGGAAGCTTATTAATAAAGCCTTCTCTCCTCGTCTGGGATTCCTTTAGAGCTCATAAAACGGAAAAAAAATAAAGGAAAAAGCTAATGAGCTAAAAACACAGCTGGCTGTTATACTCGACGGTTTAACAAGTCAACTGCAACCTCTCGATGTTTCTATTAACACACCCTTTAAGACTTTAATGAGAGAGGAATGGAACAACTGGATGCAGCAGGAATATTTTGCTACGACCCCTACAGGACGAAGGAAGAGACCGACGCTTGCTCAAGTCTGTATGTGGGTGAAAAATTCGTGGGAAAAAGTAAGAAGTGATACAGTGATTAAGTCATTTAAGAGATGTGGTATCAGTAACGCAATGGATGGGACCGAGGATGACATTCTCTTTGACCATAATATTGGATCCAATGATTCTTTTCTAAGCGACAGTGAAAACAATGAAGATTTTGTAGGTTTTGAACCAAACTAAATAACAGTAAACCTTTTTGATTTACGGTATTTTC